GAATAGAATAGAATAGAATAGAATAGAATAGAATAGAATAGAATAGAATAGAATAGAATAGAATAGAATGTTCTAATATGACCACACCTAAATGACAGTAAAGCCATGAAGATAATCCAGATTATTGAAAAAAAAAAAAGAACCTTAAAGTGTCTTGCAGGCATTAGGTCAGTCATAAAACAATGATTAACATCAAAGTTTCAATCATACATATAATTTATTTTTATTTTTTACCTCGAATTATGACACAGTTTACACAATAGCTTCTTTCTTTGTACACGCCTGTAAAGCATGGCATCATGTGATTGGCCAACATGAATTGATTGATGTTTATACTTTCCAATAGTAAAAAAAAAGGATAAAATTTCTGATTGGTTGACGGCAAACAGGGCGGGACTTTTTTGTTCCACCACTAAACCCAATGGAAATTTCCACTCGTTCTTTTCTTCTTCGGTCCAAGCAGCTGTGTTGTACTGCTGAAGAGCTTTTTGAAACTGTCTTAAAGGCAAAAAAAAAAGGCTATAAATTGGTAAGCAAAACATTATATTAAATATTATAGTCATTATAAAAGCGGTTTTGTTAGGGGTAGTTGTAGTTTAAAGCTAATGTGTTAACTTTTTGGTAGGTATACCACTTTGAGTGGATGTTCCGGTTTGACTCGCAGTCTGAGTCTACGGCTGTAAATTTCTGCCGAACATTAGTATTTCGTGTTAAATGAGACGATGTACAGTAAAAAAAAAAATAAGTGTCAGGAGTTTGCAATAATAAATTGTCATTGAATTGTTCTTTTCAATAGGCTACGAGGGAATTTGATGGTTTCGTTTCAAATATTATCACTGAAAAAGAGATTAATTCATGTATTCAGTCGTAATTTTGCATATTTAAATATATAAAAAAAGTTACAAGGAGGTTTATCTGCTAAAGCCCGCTGTCTGAAGCAGATTGTATCACATTTCTATGAAAGGTGGTGGGGGGGGTGCGCCCATATATGGGCTTCCGGGTGAGGTCACGCCCACTGTTTGCAGCACTTAAATTAGGAGAGTGACCCTGAAGCACATAGATAAGTTTGACTCTTCTGCTGTGGTGAACATTTAAAAAAACTGTTTGGTATTCTTGGTAACTCCTTGTGACTTCTCTGTTCAGGACCTTCTTCGTACACTTGAATACAACTACTTGAATCTACACGACTTCTTTACATCTCCTTTCTTCACTTGGAACAAATTGTCATCATGTCTCAGCAGCAGATCAGGTAAGTTTTATTCAGTCTTTTTTCTCATTTAAGAATAATGCAATGTTTTTCTATTTCAGGATCTAGAGTTGAAATATTTGACACAAATTTATTTATTTGTTTTTTATGGGAGGAGGGGTTGCTCTATGCCTTATATTGGTAGCAGTAAATTTTTGATAGATGTAAAAAATGAATCATAAAGAAATACCCTTTTTTTTAGTGAAGTTGTAGCTATTTTATTTTATTTTTTTCAGTTCCTCATACAGTCTTATCTAAAACAAAAACCCTCAAAACCTCTATAGCTCCTGAATATCTGTGATATAGAGTGTTGGACAGTGTTTTCAAGAAACCTTTTGTTAAAACAATCTCTTTCTTTTTTTCACCATTTTTTTTYCCCCAGCCTCCCAGCCAAGCTCATTAATGGTGGTATTGCCGGCATTGTTGGGGTCACTTGYGTCTTCCCCATTGACTTGGCAAAGACCAGATTGCAGAACCAAAGAAGTGGGCAGCAGGTCTACAAGAGCATGTGAGTATTTATTTATAACAACACTGGTCATCATGGGTGACTCACCCAATCCAGTCTGTGGGTTTTCTACCTGCTAACATGTGTGAGAGCTCCAGCATTATCCCTGTTCATTCCACAGTGACTCATAATGAATGGTGGACATTCCTGACCTGATGAACTATAACAACTGTTCATTTTTGTCATTCCTTTTAGATGTTTTTTTATTGTTTGTTTTGGGTAGGGGTGGGGGGTTGTGGTGTAGAGGCATGACTATAAAGTGTGAAAAGCAGTTTTTTTTTTTGTTTTGTTTTAACACTGTTAAAACTACATTTTTTTATCCTGCCTCTTTTAATATAACACTTATTTGTTTTAAATACAGTAGTTTTAAATAAATGTTTTTATTCTTTCTGTAGGATGGACTGCCTTATCAAAACTGTTCGATCAGAGGGATACTTTGGAATGTACAGAGGTAAGATTTTACACACATTTGTATGTTAAAAAGCAATAGGCTTTAACRATAGGGTTAACTGTAAGGAAATGATAAGCTCTGTGCGAATACGTTAAAACATCTCAGTATTTACTATTGGGTATTTCATTCTTATTTGATGATTTATTTGTTTTTTATTGCATGCGATGCTTAAGTTACAAGTCTAAATTCTCACAAACTTTAAACATAATTTAAGTATATATGCATTCAGTTAATTTGAAAGAAAAAAAAGTGCTGTTTCATTGTAATGAAGAAATGAAAATCTGCAAAGAAAATGGGAGGCCATTAGTCGAGGTCTCTGCCTTTGTGAGGAATTCTGTTGTTTGCATCTGTGTTTTTCATATTACAGACATGGGTCCCCCTGGGATATTGAAGGCTAGCCGATAAGGCGCAGCCACGCTGGAGGCAAATCATTTAATGGTTCTTACTATATTGCTCTATTTAAAACTATAGGCTCAAGTTGTTTTTGTTGTTGCCATCTGTTCGTTYTGTAATTTGACTTCCTGTCAGTAACCACTTCTTTGTCTCCTCTGTCATGGTCTGTCTCTCTCTATTTGGTTTTGTGYTTTCCTGTTGGGCTATAATGTGTACTTACAGACTTTGGTTGAACTTGCAGATGTCTTTGTAATTTTGCTCAAAGTCTGYTCACATTATACAGTATATATCCTGCCTTTTTACTAACATCTTATTCATGTTGTCCTTAACTTACAGCCTTTCAATAGATACTATTATTTTTTTCTCCCTCATGTTCAGCCTTGTTTACAAACTGTATGACCACAAAACCTTCATAAACTATAATGTTTCCCTTTGTCTGTTTCTCATTATGTTTAAAATACCTTAAATCCTTTGAGAAGCTTTTACTGAAGCTGCTTTAAGTTAAGCACTTGTCCATGTGATAATCTATTCAACAGATTTCTACTTTCTGATGTTAATATTAGCAGCAAATGTTTTTKTTGTTCTGATTGTAAACTTTGTTATGGCTTCAAGTACTAACTGTATTTTTGTTTGTTTTCTCAGGCGCAGCAGTAAATTTGACCCTAGTAACCCCCGAGAAGGCCATCAAGCTGGCTGCTAATGACTTCTTCCGTCATCACCTCGCCAAGGATGGGTGAGTGCAGTTGTATATAATAATGCTTTAATGTTTCTGATTTGTGGTTTGACTTACGACTGTTTTCTGTTAACAGAAAGAGGTTGACTGTGTTCAAAGAGATGCTGGCAGGTTGTGGTGCAGGCATGTGCCAGGTTGTTGTCACGACCCCTATGGAAATGCTCAAGATACAGCTGCAAGATGCAGGGAGGCTTGGTAAGAATATGAACTTCTGATGAGGTCATTTCTGTGGTCCATGGACTAAAACACACTTTATATGTATTTAATACGCACTGTTTTATTTTTTTTCTTAAAGCAACGCAACAACAAAAACCAGTCATGGTGTCGCCCACAAAGCTCGTGACCACAAATGCTGTGCTCGCCCGCTCCTACAACTCTGGCACTGTGGCGTCGGCACCGAGGGCTGTTTCTGCCACACAGATTGCAAAGGAGCTTCTCCACACCCAGGGCGTCCAGGGTCTCTACAAAGGTCTGGGCGCAACACTAATGAGGTAACGCACAAGTTCCTCTATTTAGAAACAAAATATGAACTTGCCGTCGTTACGCATCATGTCACTGTTAAAACAATAACCACCGTGTTTAACTTCTTTCAGGGATGTTCCCTTTTCTGTTGTTTACTTCCCATTGTTTGCTAACTTGAACYGCCTGGGCAAACCTAGTCCTGAAGAGCCGTCCCCCTTCTACTGGGCATTCCTCTCAGGCTGTGCTGCAGGATCTACTGCTGCAGTCGCTGTCAATCCCTGTGATGGTAGGTTTTATATATATATTTTTTTCTCTCGTTTTTATCCTTTTTCAACAGCAGCACTGTTGAACACGTTATCATTTGCCCCTTCCAGTTGTGAAGACCAGACTGCAGTCCCTAAACAAAGGGGCGAGTGAGGAGAGTTATGAAGGAGTTCTGGATTGTGTAAGGTACGGCAGAACTTTCGGTTGATTTTTGTAGTTTACCTGTCCTGCTATGCATGCRTGTTCATGAACCAATCTTTCTTTCTCAACAGTAAAATAATGAGGAAGGAGGGACCCTCTGCCTTCCTGAAGGGTGCCGGCTGCAGAGCCCTGGTCATCGCACCTCTGTTTGGAATTGCACAGGTCATGTATTTTGTTGGTGTTGGTGAATATATCTTGGACAACTTCCCTCTCAGCTTCATGTCAGTGTGAGCTCATACTGTCTGGCTGAAGATGCACAGSACCTGATGGACAACTGGCAGCTGCATCCTCTTAAGCCCCTTTCATAAGTCAAATCCGCGCAATCGCCGCACAGACCAGTCCGGCTTTAAGCCTCCCCGAGTCATTCATAAGACCACAGGTGAAGGCGGGCAGGTCCCGCTCACATGTACGTATTCATAAATGAACCCGCAGCGCGCATCCAAAAGAGGCGTGGAGCAGAACTCAGCTGGGCTGAACTGGACCGCAACGTATTTATTGTGGGACAGACGCCTGCTGCGTCGTATCAAACAAAACAACTGAATTAGCTCACTTTAGTGATTCTGTGGCGGTTAAATATTTTTTAAAATAATTATACAAAGTTGCTTTTTTTGTTTGTCATTTTTGATATTCCCTCCGTAAAATCTATAGATTAATCCTCCGCCGCTCACTGGCTGCTGCGTCGTATCAAAAAATAAGAAAATAAAAAGAAGAAGAAAAAAGACTTAAAATTAGCTCATTATAGCGAACCTGTAGCTCAATATTTTATAAACTAACCAGCTGCAAATTTGATTTTCTGTGTCGTCTTTAATATTCCCTCAGTAATAAATCTCCAGCTGCACTGACGTCTTCCTGTCAAACACACACACACACGCACACACACACACACACACACACACACACACACACACAGTTCCTCCGCTGCTCACCGCTCTGCCTTATCAGAGAGAAAAAACAAAACTAACTTTTACAAGTTGCTGTTTCGTGTCATTTTTAATATTCCCTTGTTATTAAATCTGCTTGTTGATTAATCCCGTGGTCGCTCATGGATGTCATCATATTCTGAGCGCTGATCTGCGGGTTGCTTTCACAAGTGGGTCTGCCTCGGGTCCGGCTCTTCTGCTCGCGGATCGGGGCGCATCAGAGGCGAGTAAAATTAACTCGCTTGTCCGCCTTCGTGTTTTTTCTGAATGCTCGTTGGAGGACTGAACACGCATCAGGCCCGGACTGAGCCGTCTTAGGAAAGGGGCTTTTGTTTACAAGAGCCAAAATAAAGACTGATGATCTGCACGGTCCAACAACTGTGTTGCACTTAAACACTTTTACAAACCCGTCAAGTCGATGGAGGCCATTGTTTTGCACTTAAAGCTGTTGGCCTTCTTTGGTTGGAGACTCAGAAAAATTAATCCTTCTTTGTCTTCAGTCACATTCAGATTCCCTCTGTGAGGGAGGGAGCTCATTCAAAGACAGACCTATTTTAGTATTACTTTCTTTTGGTTTTTTTGTATGTCTATACTATTTTTTTATAAGTACAGTTACCTATAATTATTTTATTTTATATTTTTCTCTTTTCCCAGTTACCATAACTGTTTCATTCTGCATWGCCTTCAATTTGGAGCTAGGAGTTGTAACGAGACAACATAAGGGGTCTAGTTTACACAACTTATTAGGAAATTTCTTTTATTTTTATTTTTTTTGTAATATACTGTTTTCTCTGTTGTTTCATTTCCCTAAGCTTGAACCTTCCTATTGGCATGGGACCACTTCATTTATTAAATCATCATGTGTCCTTGTGTATAGTGGTCATAGAATTAGTGGGCTAAAAGCTGGAGTGTTTCTATTTTTTCCTTCTTGAAAAACTTGACTTTGTATGTGTTTGTTTGTCTATATATTACTTGAAATATACATGCATACCATCAGTTTCAGTCATATATAATTTCTACTTTATGCTGTAAATGGAGCAGATTTTATCTGTTTCTAAGAAGCATTTTTTTTAACCTGAAATAAACATTGATACTGTGAAAGTTGATTGTTACATTACTGTTATTTGGGGTGATTTTTGTATACTTGATATTCATTAAATTCATATATCAATCTTTTTGTTCATATGGTTATTTGACACTATTGACTTGGGTTTTTTTTTCAGCACTTAAATATCTATAAAGAAACAATGCTGTAGTGTTTTGGCCAATTCAACACTTCTGAAGTGTTCAGCTTGTCTGAACTAAAAGGCAGCTGTCAAAACGAACTTGTGAAATCTTAACCTAAACATTTTTCCACGTTTAGATGCAATGCATGTAGTAAATTTGTATCTAGTTTTTTGGCAAAACCATAGCAGACTAGTGTTTGTGTCTGCACATAAAGCTGAAAATTCTGGTTTAGCTATAATCAGCTGCAGAGAAGACGCTGGTTCTAACAAATGGACTAGAACTGCAGTTGAATTTCAGGTACTGCTTGATCACTTGGGTTTATTTTTTTTAGCCCTTTTTTGTGTTTTCTGCTGCTGGTATGTGGTCTGCTTGTATGTCCCATGACCCTGTTTTCACTCCTCAGTTCTGCATGTCATGACACACAACTCTTATTTACCAGACAAASCTAATCTTTAAAGCTTGTTCACCTCCTGTTGGTTGTCTCACTTCTGTTTCGTAGTGTCATAAAATTTCCTACATGTCACCTGACTCAAAACATGCTCTWATACTTTGCTGAAAGCATCAGTCGCTGTAGTTCCCCCTGCCTTCGCAATGCTAGCTAAAACTACTAGAACACATTTTCAGTCTTGAAAGTTGAATTCAGCAGCCTCCGGCTGGCAAAGTGCGAAATTCAATCAGAAAAAACAATATTTATTTCTAAGGTGCTAGKATCGTAAACTTCAAGGTTCACCACAGACATTCAGAGGCTTAAGAAGTTCATTTTGCACCATAATTTAATATAATGCAGGTGGTCCTAATGTTTTGACAGAGGTGTTTGTATGTGAGAAGTTTCAAAGGATCTAAAGTTCATTACTGACTGCAGCGTTCAAACAGTAAACCTGCAAAGAGCGCCAACGTGTTCAGGAAACAACCACAAAATGTTCGTTGATGCACTTCCTTGTTTTCTTCTTTTGAAACGAAGCAGAAAGCTGGGCTGACAATAAATAAATAAAAAACAAGAAACAGGTGATAAAAGCACCCGGATTTATTTATTGTTGTTAACAGTATGACAGAAACTATATTATTCTATATTTTACACCTTATTGGCACACCAACAAAATTTACATCCACAATAATTCACACAAAATGCAAACTAACTCACTGTTACTGTTTAAACATGCTGGAGATAAAACTCAGTGCAGCGCTGACGTTTCAGACAAATTTGGAAATTTACAAAAGGGGCAGTTTATCATCAGACCGTCATACCCTTTGGGTTAGCTTCCTGTCTACACCTATTCTCTTGTGCTTTACAGTAAAAAAAAAAAACATGTCGAGTGTGGAGGCAAGAAGCAAAGCACACTCGTTATGCGTGTGTTCGATTTATGAGAAATAGTCAAATTATTCAGTAGTAGTTTGACTACAAAAGGTCAAGTAGGCACATAATCCACTCTGCAAAGGTAGGCTAGTCTTCAAAACACTTAAGCACACAAAGAAAAGTGCAAGAATCCGACCAAAAAGAGCAGGAAAACTAACGAACGCGTTAACGGCTAAGGCCTAAAATAATTGTCCGTATTTACAGCAGTGCTCCTCCTTCACCACATTCMTGTCAGAGACGGCTTTCTGCTCCGTGTTGGTTTCACACTGCAGCATTTCAGCCTCTGCACAGCAGCTGCAGCATATTAAAAGCCAGGAATGTCACAGGGTTATGTTAAAAGCAGAGCTTAAGTAATGGGGGAAAAAAACAAAACAGGGATAAATTATAGTTTCAGTGCTGGTGGAGTCGAGAGGAAGATGTGAAGATGCCGATCCAGCGTATGATGTCAAATGTGGTCCCCACCTAATCCGTCTGGTCGATTAAGAATGCCATTGAAATGTAACTCTGGCATTGCCCTTCGCAAAATAATAGATATTGATTCTGGAGGGCTGCGAGTGTGTCGGGGTTTGGTTGTTGCTGGGTGGAGGTGAGGAGACGGTGTACCGTCTATATGACCTCCCTGGTGTTCCTGATGGCGCAGCACAAGACCATACTGAAGATCATTCCAAGGATCTGAAAACAGATTAAAGCACTTAAAGCAGCAATGTATTAAACTTAAAAGCCAGTATTAACAGTACCTTGCAGATTAATGTTAAAACAAGTGAATCGTTCTGGGTTTAATAAGCTAAAAATTGAGATTTTGCACATTCTTACCATAACTCCAGCAATACCAATCCCTATATATCCAATGATATGCAGCTTTTCCTCAAAGAAGTCATGTATTGCAGTGAAACAGTCCTAAAAAAACACACCAAAAAAGTTATTTTTTTCTTCTTTTTTAAGCAGTTGCTATGCTGCCATCATGTGTTTGTTTAGCAGCACAGCAGGCTGGGTGAGTTTACCTGGGTGTCTTCTGRAAACTCTTCACACATCTTTTTAACTGTATCTGAAGTGGGACCTCCACAACAGTTCAGCTGTAGATACAGATATATATATGAAAAGTACAAAAAGGTAAGAAAAAAAAGTATACTTTTGTATCGGAGCAGAAAATAAGTGAACGAAGGCGAATTGTTCTTACAGTTTTGTGGTAAAGTGTTGCTATCAGGGTGCCGTTTACACTGTCGTCATCAGCCRAGTTGTTATAAAATTTTTGGACTTCTTCAGTAATCTGTTACAAAATTAATAATATTAATAATAAAGAATAAAAATATGTTTTATTAATCAGCTGACCCTCGGCTACTTGAGCCCGACAACGTTCTGTGACGGTACCTGCTCTTTGTTCATGAATCCAAACACACCGGCGGTGATCTCAGCTCCAAAGATTATCAGAAGGCAAGCAAAGAACTGCAGAATCAGAGGAGAAACAGGCWTGTTATTGTCCTCTAACATCTGTTTTAGTTCAATAACTAACTGACGATGAGCTAGTTTTTAAAGAACGTATATAAAACCCAATCACAGCTTTTTTTAAAATTTACAAAGAGATAAAAAAAACAGCAGCATAGAAGAGAATCAAAGTTATTAAAAGGGGAATTTTTAATCCTTTGAACCCACCGATGCGAGAAGACACTGAGACTCCCACACTGCCCCGAAACACCCGAAGAACCCCACGACCATCATCAACCCTCCTGCACCGAGCAGGATGTACACAGCTGCAGAGAGACACACAGCTGCATCATTTTGCAAAAAACATACAAAAAAAAAAAAAAACAGTTTATTAATGAGTTGAAAAAAACCTAAAGTGAAGCAGAAAAATCAAACTGCAGTTACAGCCTTTTGGCTGAAGGTGGCAGCATTGATCCAACGTGCATTCATGTCGTCAGGGAGGGAGATTTTTTAATAAAAAGTCTGTTTGTTGTGCTTGAATAACAGAAAGGACGTGTAGGTGGGAACTTTCTTTCTTTTTTTTTTTTTTCCTGTGGCCTCCCACAGCTCACAAKCTGATTATCAACCTACTCCACTGTGAATTTTACAGCTTACTGTAGAGAGAAGTTATCAGAGAAAATACAGTATCTGTGAGTGTGTGAGTGTGGATAGTGTGTGCTGTACTGGTCAGTGTRATAGAATTGCTTATCATAAGGCAAATACTGGTTTCAGCAAAAACATTGTCAGGACCGTTTCATCATTCAAATGACCAACTATCTAAAGTTGGGTATAAAACTAATGTGTTCCTCCTCTGGGCACCTAACAGGCATAGCCAGAAATCATTCCCAACAACAGGGTTCATACAGTTTAAGGCAAGTTGCATTTAAGACTTTTTAATGCCAAGTGAAATCAAATTTAAGACCAATTTCACAATAAACACAAATGACAAAAAAATAAAACTGTGGCAGAAACACATGAATCAAAGTATTTTTTAGGTTGATTTATTCAAATATTGCTAATAGACCAATTGCTTTTATCCATGTCTAACTGACATTTTGTCAAATATAGCAAAAAAAACAAAAAACATTCTTAGCAGTCAGTTTTAAACATAATTTAATTCCTGGAAATCCTCTAACGACCCAAAATTAGTTGTTTTAGGACCCACAGTTGGGTCTCAACCCCAGCGTACTGTAGATGAAACCTTAAAGTGCCTGCGACATCAAATTTTTGTAAGAAATATGAATGCATTTTTGGAACGACGACATTATTAACATATTCGAAAACAAATTTCACATTGCTCAGATGGACAGTTGTTGAGACATTTGCATGTGAAATAACAGGAAGTGGTGTCAAAAGGGAACATCTGAATGGRAATATTTCAAAAATAAATAAAYGTGACCAATTATTYTAACATTTGATACRAATTACAGTCATCCTMCTTACAATGTGTTCACATTTTTAAGACTTCTGAAGATTGATTTAAGACCTTTGAAGGCAAATTAAGGCTTTATTATTGGATTGATGAATTCAAGACCTTTTAAGACTTTTTAAGGATGCGCGGGAACCCTGTACAATGACAAGACGTCTGAGGCCGGGGCACAGTCCTGAATCATAATTAAATGAAAACCGAAGCTGAAAATCAAAAGACAAACAAGGTTTCCGTTCGCTCCTTTGATGCATTAGTGTGGTTCCCAGTTTTAGACTCCATTCATTCTTGCTCCTGCACCGCGGAGCACAGAAACAGACGCCATCTGTCTCAACGAAATGGCAAATCAAATTAGGACGATTCGATCGCTGCAGAACGCGACCGACCTCGGCTCCCTTCGAGCCCGCCTGACGTCACCTCCCCCCCGCCTGCTCCCAGCCTTCGCTACGGGGTCCCGTGCACCGTAACCACACACCGAGCCGGTCCCCYGAGCGCCGTGCTAAGAGCCTAATCAGCGACATAGGCAGCTACCACGGCAGCGGCTTAATTAATCCTCATGAGTCCGACGCAAGCTGTTGTTTTCCTGTTGTCGAACAAAAGGGAAGGTAAAGACGAGGCGAATGGACGCTGACCTGGAGGTAACGGAGCACAAGAGATGCAAAACCTCAAAGCAAACTGCCTTTTTTACAATGGGAGTTTCGATAAGCTCAGAACTTATATAACTGAGTCAAACTGCTTTCTTAAACTGCTCAGTTTTGTACTTCTGGACGACTGTAAAGTTGTGCCCTTCAAACCGAGCATCAAAAACACACATTAGTGAATGTAAAGCTCTGGTTTATCTCTCAGTTTAACTCGCTCCCTATCTTATACACACACAGAACGGTTGTTTACACACTGCGGAGCGAAGAGGTGACTGCATGGAAAAGTGAATCATCCACGGGGAATGCTGCCATTTTCTTTTATTATGCGATCACCATCTTTAGTCTCGTTGTCAGAGCTAGCAAAACCTGAATATTTCATTAAAAAAGAAGAAAAAAAAAAGAATCACTGTTATAAAACGTGCAGAATGTCCAGTATGTGGATATTTACAAGGTTTTCTCCCACAGCTTCAGTGTAACAAGCTCTGATTTTTCCATCCTATTCTAAACGAGCTGCTTCTGTAAGCACATAAACTGAAATGACTCCTACTCGTCAGCTAGAATACAAGTTTAAAACTTATTTTTTTAATGCAAAGCCAGTTCATGTTTTATTATCCTCAGCAAAGCCTTTTGGTTCACMGTTGGTTAAATTCATTTCTAGTGGAAACCTCTTCTTGATTCAAAAACAAGAAACACAGCAGCTGGAAATGAGCGTAAGGACCAGTAACGTAGGAAAATACAAGTCATTTATGGAAATGTATCTGTGACTCGTTTAACAGACAAGCTCCGGGATTTTTGTAAGTCAAATTAAGTTAACTAAGCATCGTTGAGCTTAACCACAGTTGTTATGCTTCTGCATGTTTGGGGTCAGTATTTCTTTTATTTTTTTATTATTTATTTGATGCCCATTTTTAAGGTTGCAGAGAATGTTTTTTTAATCCTAAAAATAGAAATAAACTTTGCATTACAATGTTTTTTTTATTATCTCAAATCAGAATCAGAAACACTTTATTGCCACTGTCAGTAAACGAGTTACAGACTAGGAATTTGCTCTGGTGTGTTCACTATGTAAAGTAGGTTTTGCGGCCTGGTCTCGCTCCGACCTGAAACCCCCGTGTCCTGAGCAACGTTATAATAGTTTAGGATTTTTCATTATAGTTTAGTTTTATTTCATTTTGACTTTTTTTCTTTTAATTCAGTTAGTTTTAATTAGTTTTTACAGTGGATTTGATAGTTTTTATTAGTTATTATTGTGTAATACTTAGTTTTAGTTTATTTTTTATTAGTTCTATTAGTTTTTTATTGTTTGAATAAACATATTTACCAATGCATCCTCAAGCTTGTGATGTTCCTGTGAGTTAACTAACCAACAGTTATTTGGTCGCTAGTTAAAGCAGTCCATTATAGCGACACCTTCCTAAAATAATTGTGTAATTTTGTCAAATAAGGACTTGGGCGATTATTTTAAGACAATGACAATAGATAGATAATAATCTATAAAAATAGATAGATGCACACATCTTAAAATAAATTGACAAACACTAAAACTAAGGATATTCTATCTATAATTTCAGTTAGTTTGAGTTAGTTTTGTAAAAAAAAATATTATACAGTTTTAGTTAGTTATTGTTTTATTCATTTTATTACAGCTTTGATTTATTTTAGTTAACTAAAATATCTTTTCAATATCAGTTTTCGTTATTCAGTTAGTTTTAGTCCTGAGAGAGTGAAGCAGTTCCATGACAGCACGGCATGGAGCTGATGAAGTGAAGTCACCATTTTAGGTCATGGCTGAAACGGGAGCAGCGAGAACAGGCTTCATTCTGATCGTCTACTCCTACGCAGGGCGGCCGATACAAGGCCCGTTGTGTTGAGGAGCGGACACTGAGGGCCGTTTGTCCTCTCCACTGTATGTTTTAATAATCTGCCGTTTGTTTAAGCGAGACTTTCTCACACACAGAAACACAACTCTTCTTTCGGTATTAAACAAAAAAAGACACCTGACAACAAAGTGCAACCGAGTTTGAGTGAAGGGAACAGAGGCGTCTGATCGAGCAGTTCACAGAGTTCACTCATCGCTGCTGTCGGTGTGTCGCTGTTTACAAAATGTCCTTCTGTCATGGAACAAAGACTTCCAGGATGGAACCATAAACTGTAAATAAATCGAAGACAGTTTACGGGATGACACAGACTCGTTTCTCAACTTCTGTTTTTATTTTTATTTTTAATTATTATCCCATTCTTGCTCCCTTTTAAAAGAATACTTACAGGTATTTTGTCTGTAAAAGGGAGTTCCAAAAATAGCTTCTGAATTTGTGATTTTCTTCTTCATTTAAATATGGGCCCTTTTTTTTTTTTTTTACACAGCCAGCTGCTGATTTAAAGAAGTGAAACAGTGAATGAGTCCTGATGTCTTGTGGTTAAAAACTATTTTAGGGGTCTATTAAATTCAGACATGTTTTAGAGCCAGACACATATAGCAGTGATCTTCCATTTTTTTAGAAGTTCTTTGAAAAAGAACAAATGTTGACGTTAAAATAGACAAATATATCTAAAATAAAATTAGTATCCCTTAACGTATTGAATATCGCCTGCTACTTTTCATGTCAAACTGTTTTAAACAAAGATCTTGCACCGTCTGTTAGCAGTTAGTGTGCATGTTGGGGATGACTCTCAGCTACTACCACACCAAAATCCTACCCAAAATATAAATCCAACCAAAATATAGA